ATCATCATCATCATCATCATCAACAGCCTATAAATGCCCACTGCTGAGCAAAGCCTCTTCTCACACGGAGAAGGTTAGAGCGTTAATCACCACGCTTGCTCAATGCGGGTTGGCGATTTAAAACTTATAATTAGAAATTATAAGTCCAGGTTTCCTCACGATGTTTTTCCTTCACCGTTTGTCAGTGGTGTCTAAATAATCTTAGAAAGTACATATAACTCGGAAAAAGTCACATTGGTACTTGCCGTTGGTAGGTTTCGAACCCGCACCCTCATGCATGAGAAGTGGGCGTCTTAAACCTCCGGGCCACCACGACTTACTTGACTTGATTTGATTAGACTAAACTACAATAGGTATATCTAACAATCAATGCTTTGATTTTCAAGTTAGACATTGATAAACAACAATCTATATATCTTTATATATATAATTCTTCTGTGAGTGTGTATGTCACTGAACTTCTCTCAAACGACTGGACCGATTTTGACGAAGTTTTTTGTGTGTGTTTCAGGGGATCTGGGAATGGTTTAGATTCACAAATCAGCCCGTCAGATGGCGCTGCAGTCGATGTTTAGGTTATTTATCCTAAACAGCTGAACTAATTTGAATGAATTTTTGTTTATACATTCAAGTGGATATGCAGGACAGGTCTGTTGGGTCCGCTAGTATATATATAAAAATGAATCCCTTATTTCCTTGGTCACGGCATCACGCGTGAATTACTAAACCAATTTCACTAATTTTTTTTTGTTGTACTTGTTATTATTAGGAGAAGGTTAAGACATTAAAATCCTAAAAATCCTATAGAAACGGGAGAAAACTGGATTGCACGTGCGAAGTCGCGGGCAGAAGCAGAAAAAGAAGACAAAAGCCAAATAAAAATATCAAAATGAAAAAGCCATCACGTTCAACCGATGTGTGTGACATTTTTCACCGTATCCCAAAGAAAAAAACCTTTGCAAATTCTTCAACGTGTATAATACAATCATATATATGCATACACGTCTGAATTCCATACATTTTATTTGCAAAATTCCTTCACGACTTGGAAATTCGGTGCTCGCGAACTCGAATACCGGGTATAACCGGGTAACTGGGTTCAGTCACGTGAAAATATAACCGGGTTGACGGAATCACTTACTGAGGGAGTACTTCTTTAGATCTGGGCGTCGTGAACATGAGTTCTTATGTACTTCATTGTACTTTTCAATATTAATAATAAGATAATATATTAAAGTTTATATATATTTGGTTGTCTAATGTTATATGATGTAGATGAGGTCCAGAGTCCAGCTGACTGTCACACACAGTTGATAATATAACATAACATATTAACATAGCATCACGCTTTTTATCCCCGAAGGGCTAGGCAGAGGTGCACAATTCCAGACTCCGTGCTACTACTGCTAACCCCAGAAACTGCTAAAAACCCCAGTAATACTTTGCCCGACCCGGGAATCGAACCCGAGACCTCTTATCCGGTAGTCGCTCTTGCAAACATTCGGACAACGAGGCAGTGATAATATTGAGGGTACAAAAGTAAAAAGTTTGTACATGGTGTTTGGCCGTAGCCGTCATGTTACTTAAAATTTCAGTAAAGTTTTGCCTTCCAGCTTCCCGTATTAAAACCTAAGATTTCGTCATCGTCTTCGTTAGGCAAGGAGTAGGGAGCAAGATTAATGTGCATCTATCTGAAAGTTTACGTTTGTACGCAAAAACGCAAGCACTGAGTTTACAGGAGAAAATCCTACCGAACAAAACGTATTTTCTAAAAAATAAAATCTACCGGTCTATCCGGTCTTTAAAGCAGTCCGGAAATCAACATTTTGAATATGTCATTATTATTATTAATTTCACTTATTATTATAATCTACATAATCAGGTCACAGGCTCAACCCCGTGTTGGGAGTTTAATTAAATATGGGTTAGGTACTTTATAGTGCGTGTGTTAATATTAAATCGTATAGGTGTGTGGCAGGTGATACATTTTGCCGTGATGTGGTTTTAATTAACTTTAAACGTAACTACAATTTGTACTGTGAACATTAGGTAATTACTTAGACTTTAGTAATATACTAAAGTGGTGTTTGTTAGGTCTTCTTGTATGAATACTATTCTAATAATGGATTCAATTAAATTTTTTGTATCTATCGTACAGTTATTACGTGAA